GTTTCTAACCCTCTCTTACTTTTTAAAATCATAGTAGAAGTATAATTTTATTTTGTCTGTTGCAAAATTACAATTCATTTGAATAAAACTACAATTAAGTTACATTGTTATTATAATTGGAAGATAACGGTTATTAATTATTTAATTTTAGTTCCCATTATCCGGAGTTTAAAACTAAGTGGAGTCTTGCGCCTTTTTTGCATACATTTTTACGTTACTTTATCAGGCTAAATATTTTACCTAATAGTAAACTAGTCAACATTTAATAATTCATTCCTTATTTTCCTGACATCCTATACTCATATCAACTTTGCTTTTATGCGCAGGGATTTAAGTACAAAATCAAATGTGCAATGGTATTCTCAGAAAGCTAATTAGACTAACTTTAATTGATTATCAAGCCAATTTTTAATGGATCTACCTTATCTTAGTATCTGCATATGTTATCAATTATGATTTTTCAGTCTTTAAGCGATGTATATCTGTACTCATTACGAACTACAATTCAATTTATACATCACCTTACTCCTTCTCAGGCACACATTCGTATGGCTCAGCTCGAGAAGACCACTCGCTGGTGGTCTGACTGCACGGTTTCTTGGCGTGAACGTTGGGCACGTACGCGTGACGAACGCAATTATCTCCGTCAACAGTTGCGCGCCACCCAGGAGGAATTAACCTCGCTTTTACGAGCGAGATGTCTTACGTCAGGTAGAACGCGTCTGATAGATGATGCATCAGATGTTGCAAGTCAGCGACAACGAAATTTTGTCTATAACACCGCTTTAACGCCAGGTTGCCCAGAATTCAAGGGAGGAGGCAAAGTTTGCTACCAAAGACGCACCATAGATACCTTTTTACCCCTAGCTTTTAGTGAAAACGATGACTCTTTTATTCGCCCCTCATCTAACCCTGTTGACAAAGGTGATCCTTCACTCAGGCGATGTGGCACCCCTGTGGGAAAAGAGCCATTTGAGGAGGGAGCTATGGCGCAAACTGCCCATACGGCATCACCAACCCACGGCTTTTCACGATTAATGCAACTTGGTAATGGGCATTCCAGCCATGGGCAGACAGACTATGCTGATACACAGGACTTCGACATCCTTAGAGCATCCTGTCGCCTTGGGATAGCCTATCCTTCCCATGGTGAGCTAAGCTTTGCTATGATTTTAATAGTAATTTAAAAATTTGAATTACAACACTTCATACTGGTTTTAATTTTTTGAATTAAAGATAATTAAGAAAAATTAAGAGAAAAAACAATAGGAAGCGATTTGTCAATCCAAATCTTTGGGGCACATCATCGGTACATTTTATCAGAATGCGTTGGGGCTTGCTTCTGTATATATTTGCAATTCGCTCAATTGATTAGAGCAGTGATTCCTAAACTGTGCGCTGCGGCGCCCCGGGGAGCCGCGGCCTCTTTACAGGGGCGCCGTGAAGTTTTGTAAAAGCTTCAATTTGATAAAATGTGCAGTTATTTGCAGGCTCATTCATCACATTAATTATTTAATATTAATTTAATGTTAATAAAGTAAAAAAATAATAAAGATACACGAGTGTTATTTATTTTTATCTCTTACGAATAGTCATACTTAGGGTAGTGAGCCATCGAAAAATTTTAATTGAAAAAGGGCGCCGCGACTAGGAAACGTTTGGGAACCACTGGATTAAGCTATTTAGGCTATCTACAATCTTTTGTTTGGTCTCGAAACTATGCAGATTTTTGTAAAACAAAAACTAGGTTTCATAGAATTCTTTAATAGATTGATGTTGGAGTACCTTTTATTTCGTTTTAATAGGCGAGTCAAAGGGATTTGTAAGTTGGTCCACTGGAGGCTGTGGGGTGGTTGCCCTGGAGCTATTGTTGTAGATTTGTGCGAATAGGTCCTCGGCGCACCGCCCTGAGACCCCGATAAATCCTTGCTAAGATTTCGTCTGTCACGTAACGGAAATCTTCAGAGCAGGACAACATGCTTAACGATAATTAATTAAAAACACGAAGTCAAAAAAGTTGGTCGGCTTCAAACCTACTTTCTTCTTATAGCCCAATTTGGTCCATTTAGGCATCTCATGTTTTGGTTGGACATCCTATGCTTTGTCTATATGTTTTCTCATAGGCTAAGTTAAATGGCTGCGGATGATATGTGAAGTGGCTGCAGATGAAGCGTGAAACGGGTGCAATTGAAAACTAACCGCTGCATCCTCTTCTAAAACACTTACTCCTTTGATCCTGCAATGTTACCGCATGTAATTGCGCCCCACTGCACATCAGCCAACATCTATATACTGATTTTAGTCTTTTTTATAACTAGTAGCTTCAGATAAATGCATCTTTACTAACTAAATTCCACTTTTTAACTCAACA